AACAACAAAAGAAACTATAACATCCCGTCATCCCCTATTGTAAAATAACCTCATCAGCATGCAAAAAGAACAACACAATCCAAAAGTACATTCTGATCCGTGATGCTTCTGCGGCGTCAGACCTTTCGATCATCTTTCACCAAGAATAAATCTTCTCAATCCCTTCTAGTTATAATAATGTTCTAAAATTCAATCAAGACACAACAACAAAACATGAAATGTGAGTGAAAGCCATATGTACTAATTAGAACCTCTGGGCCTGGCTGCATTATATACATCTCTACCGCCTCTACTCAAACAAGCAAGAATCATTTTTCCATACATATTACTTTGCATGGATTGTGCATTAATCATGATTAGTTCAACGAGTGCATTCGCGGCTTCTCCCTGCATGCACAGAACAAGAAATATGGGTTATTGATCACAGTCTGCTTTAAGATTCTTATGTTACCCCTCATTGTACCCCTCCACTTATAATCAATCTCAGAGAGGACAGAAGGCCAACTTTTAAGCCCCGTTATGCCATTTTTCCATGTCGCTTTCATTACTTTAATGTTCTAAACACGACTCCAGTTTCTTAACAGATATTGGAGACAAAGAGAAAGAATCAAGGGTCTATTTGGTGAACGACTAAACTTTTCAGAAAGAAAAATCTACCAAGTCAAAAACTTTACTCCACTCATCCACTAATAAGTGAAATAAAGCAGAAAACGGTACTAAACGGATCCTTAAGGCTGACGACAGACATGTAAACAGTAATGTAGGGAGATGAGAAAAATCTCCCAACAGGACCGGATATAAGTTGAGCTTCTCAAGATGGCCAGCAAGACAAGTTTTGATAGGACCATGGGCTGAGGAGACTAATAATAAGAATATTAGAATGATAATAAATACTACGTAATTGTGATAGTGTATTAGAGGGTCCTGGGCCTGGTATTAGTTAGCTTTGGACTGGCCCATAAGGAAAATATTATAAATAGGAGTTGGGAGTAGAAGAAAGAGGCAGACAGTAATTAGAATTAGACTTGGGAGAGGGGACTGCTCGAAGTGTCTCGCCTGTATTTCTTTCCTTTTCGTTATCTTCTTTCTCTAATATATGCCAATTTTACCGTTTCGTTGAGGTTCCTAACAAGTTTAGAGGCTTCAAATGGGTTAGGTTGATAACAAACTGACCTTAGCTACTTTCAGTGCCTTTTGAATGACATAATTCCCGAAAGGATCAATAAGAAGCAATGGAAGATTTGGGCTCGAGATCAACTCTGTGATAATTCTAGTTGACTGCTCGCCTGATTTGAGAAAGAATTTTTCAACAACATTACTAGCATATTTGTTGCATGCTAGAGATGCAAATTTCCCTTGAAGACGTGCCAGTAGATTTTCTTCCACTCCTGGAATATTTTGTCCAAGCAGATGTTGCACAACATAGTTGCTGCGAGTAGTGAAAGAGACAAATATAAAAAGGAAAGAAAAAAAATGTTATTTTTGTGAAATTTACTCCTAATTTTTGTGAAATATTTGTGTGTCACGAGGATCTAGAAACGATGTATAAGGAAGAAGCAAACCCATATGGATTTTCTGATAGTTGATCTGCATATGCTATGATTTCATTCACCAAACACTCCTTTGCTTCTCCGTGTGCATTCTCTATACATGACTGCAACACACAACATCCGCTTCTATTGGTTGCAATTCCAAAGCAGTTCTTTGCTAATTCGTTGATAAGTTTCTGCCATATATAGTTAGCCTTTTGTCAGACTGGAAACAAGCATGCATTTTACAAGTATCTTGTGAGAGAAAATTATATGGTTGTCCCGTTTTATTCTCATCATACTGATATACGGTATGCTTTCCAACTTTGAAAATGCATTTACCTGTTCACATTGAGCAAAAAAAGTATTTCTAACGATCATACTAATGCTCATAATTACATGATGATAATGATTGTCTTGCAAGTGTCACGTGGCCATTTCGACTAAATACTTTTTCACTAAATACTCCACAACCTACAAGGCTACAAATAATAGCCTCAACTGTAAGTGTAGTAGGAATTTATATCCATTTTAAACATGGTTATTCCTATCCCTTCTATTTCTTCACTTCAGCTCATTTGATTGTGCCAGTTCAATCTACATTAGAAGAGAGACTGTTGAATATAGCCAATAAGTTATACCTATAGATCTGACCAAACATAGCCAGTACCTTGATCACTTGAATTACAAGTCCAGTTTTTATACATTGATTGTAATACTCGACTCTACTTATGAACTCGACTCTACATTTTTAATACAGAACTTTGTGTTCTATTTTTAAAAAATATTGTTCCCCTGAACTTACTATATCTCCTCAAGTAATGTTGAGGATTCTTATTGATTTAATGTTAATCATATTTTCCATAAGTTTTGATACTATAACTTTATTACGTGACAGTTGACTAAAAAACTTAGATGCAAGTTCCTAACTGTTTTTGAGAATTTGAGAACTTAGTCCTTGATCAAGGAAACAAGAAATAAAAAAAGACTAGAGAAGCATAGTAGAGAGTGGATACTAATTGGATAATTATTAGGAAGTTTAACAGAGCATGACAACGTATACAGGATTTGGCCAATGTTATAGGAAGATCATGAGGATAGTAACTATAAAAAACTGATGAAAAGTTGGCCATGCAATTATTTAGTATCAAACTATGAAGCACGGATACTCTCGAGAAAGACTATGCTTCCTTTTCGGAACGTTCTCCCATGATTCTCACGTTTCCATGCAACATAGGTGTCAACTGTCAAATGATACACTTGCATGCTCATAATACTGTTGGATCTTTACTGCATGTACAGCCAAAATTCAAATCTTTTAACTGATTTGCATTTTGGCATATATTATAATCACTTGGTTAGGTTGTAAAAATTACATGTTCGGGTGCCCCGCCAAAACATGCTAAACATTTGATTCGGGTATTCTCTAATGTGAGAAAAGAAACACGCAACTACTCGTGGTTCAAGTTTTCAGTTTACCAAATACGTGTATTGGGAATACCTGCCCCCAACAAAGCAATGCAATGTTAGCGCCATGGGCGGAGCTAGGGGTGGGCCAACCTAGGCCATGGCCCACCCCAAATTCTAAAAAATAGCTTATTTTTCAAGGTAAAAAATTTCGTGTAAATTTTTTTCTAAAAATATTCTTTGTACCGACCTAGTGCCCTGGCTCCGCCGCTGGTTAGCGCCATAGCTGTAATCTAATTACTCGGGTTTCTTAGCGAGATAAGTAAAATTACATTCTTTGATGTAAACAACTTGAGGTTGTTTCACACTTCCTAAATCTTCTTACAAATCTATTATATCTGAGATAAAGTTAAATATAACACCCCCTAAACACCGCGGAGGGAGTATTATGTTTCACTATCGTAAAACAACAATCACTATAGTAAAACAACAGTAAAAAGAGCCATTATATATGCTAATGTATAAGTTTACCTTGGTGTATTCAAAGGAGAAATTTTTCAAGCAGTAAAGAATGACAAGGTGGCCATTGAGGTCACAGGACAATGTAACTGCCCAAGGGGATAAGGCATCCATTACTAAGGATCTCTGCTGCGGGCAACTCAGCTCTTCCAACAATTTCTGCATTGCTCTAGCCCTTCAAACACACCCATTCAAATCATTTTATCTCTATGGGAAAAAGTCATATATACTATATTTCCACAATTAAAAAGTCAAGAACTTTTCAGCATTAACCATTACCCAAAAGGGTTGGTGCATATGGGAATGAGCTGAGACGGTTTCTTAGTTAAAGCAAGAATGATATTTGTTCTTTGCTCTTCACTGCATACTGAGAAAAGCTTCTGGATAAGGTAACTCCCAGATTGATTCTTCATCATATCACCCACATGTTCTATAATCTCAGAAAGCACAATCTCTGTTCCTTCCTCCCCCAACAGAATGAGATTGTCCTGCAATATTCTGCATCCACTTTGATCCTTTGCTAATGAAACTACATTTCCCCTCAGCTCCTCAAGATTGAGCAAGACAAAGTGCTGCCCTCCCTGATTCATCCCTTCCTTCTTGTTCGGATAGGGCTTAAACCCGTTCGAAACGCTCCAATTTCTCGGGCTCGACACACCCGCCGGGTGATCATAATTTTGGTTCAAGCCATGAAGGTGATTTTGAAAGGGAACAAATGGTTTCTTAGGAAGCAAGAAAGGGTCATGGCCGTCGTGAAACTTTTGACTATTTCTCGAACTAAAATGCTCCCTTCCACCACCGCCGTCATACCACATCCACGGCTGGGCCGAGGAGGTACTGGCAGCGGCGGCGGAGGCAGAAGCAGCGTTCCTAAGCGTCTGGCCGCCATTACAAGCTACAGCCGCCGCCCAGGGCCTGGTCGGGCCCACGCTGATATCATGGAGGGGCCCACCGAGGTCCAGGGAATAGTGGGTTCCAACATCCTGGCTGTGGGCCATCCTCCTCCTCCTCATCGTCATCATCAAACCCTCCACGTCGGCATTGCCGTTTTGCGCGCCCAAACTCATTACAGGGTCGTACCCGTACCGGATAACAGGGTCCGATCGCAACCCGAAAGCCAGCTCACCGCCATCCGCCGTAGGACCCGGCGGGATCGTCGGAGGGTGATGGTGGCGAGGAGGAAGGCGGTAATCCGGCGACGAGAGGCGCAGATTGGAGAGCTGTGATTCGATGCCGAGAATGTCGGGGTTTGGGTAAACCTCCGGCATGATGTTCCGGTGAAGTGCGGGGTTTTGCGGCGGTTGAGGAATCGTCCCCTGAAGGTACGGGCTTCTCAGTCCCCACTGACGCTCCATTGCCGTTACAGGAAAAACAATCGCCAGAGGAAAACAGGGTGTTTATGAGGTTCAAACTCCCCTAGCAGTAGTAGTCTTCTCAAGACTGAACTTATCTTTTTAAATCAACCTTTGGGGTGTCTTCCTTTTGGGTTCTATTTATGGAGTATGTATGAGTATGGATTTTTTTTTATATGAGTATCAAAATACTACCGTACATATTATATTCAGTTCCAAATTATATTGGAATTTCATTCTTATAGTATCTTTTTTTATTTCAACTTTCAACTTTGGGTTCTAATTTACATGTTTTTTAGTTGAATTTCTTTGATCTGTTATGATTTAAGTTCGTCTTTGATCTAGTCTGATAAAAGTTTGATGTATGTGTATTTTTAACCACCGAAGTTAGTATGATCTTGTTTATTCAAATCTGTTCTGATTTGATCTGATCTATTTAATTCTGATCTACTCTAGTCTGATTTGGACTGAAATAAGTTCAAATTGAAACAACTATATTTATGGAATATGGAGTAACATAAATAAATTCGATTTCAATATTGAACTTGAGCTGAAAACATCCAAAAAGAATGAACTGCACGAGTGCAAACTCAAATTTTACCACTACATCAGTCGCTAGTCAGTTCGTATACCATGCAACCGTCCCACGGTGCGCATGGTATACCTGGGAGAGCGAAGAAGCAGTTCGTATATTTTGGCTTTGTTATTTTTTATTTCTCCTTTTTTTAAAAATGTTAATAATTTTTATATTTTTGATCCGATTTTTATAAAATTTATATCAATTTTTTTTATTTTTCATGATCTTTCAAATGAGACCAATATTGCCTATGTAATTTTAACATATTAACATTTGCGTGTAAAAATATGTAACTTTACGTGTTAAAATATGTAATTCACGTTCAGTCAGGTCAAATGCAACTCGTGTGTATAAATATGTAACTTTACGTGTAAAAATATGTAACTCGCGTTATTGATCAATGTAACTCCAGCTCATTCAAAATGTAAATATTGATTTCAATGTAAACAATGAAAAAAAGAGTCTAATTGCACAATTGCTTTAGGTAAAACGTGAATATGTTTTGTTTTTAATATCATGGTCATAAAAAATATTTTTTTAGAGAAGATCATTTTTTGTTTCAATAGCAGGGATTGATTTTTTAATGTAACTCGTGTTATTACAAATGTAACTCGCGTTGGTGGCAGATGTAACTTGGGTGTATACAAAATGTAACTTGTTGGAAAATTGAACAATGTTTTTTTTGTGATTGAGATATTATAAACATTGATTTCAATGTAAACAATGAAAAATTGATCCTAATAGCTTAATTACTTTTTTAAATAGTTGAATATGTTTTATTTTTAATATTAGGACAATAAAAATGATATAACAGGGGTTTATTCCGTGGTGTAACTCACATATATTAAGATGTAACTCGCTTACATTAAGATGTAACTTGCGCAGAAGAAGTTGTAACTTCATGATATATGATCAAATGTAACTTCAAGAATCAAAATAAACAAACTCAATGTCTTAAAAACTTCTAAAAACATATAAAAGTGATAAAAATTTATTTCTCATAAAAGTTTATAGAAAAAAAGAAATTGTAATCATATTTTAATAATTTTGATCATGTTTTTAACATTTTAATAAAGGAGATTAAATAATTGAAAGAAGAATATAAAAGAAAAGGAAGATAGAAAATAGGAAGAATGGTTAAACGAAGGGAAAGCAGGGAAAGGTAGTGGAAGTTTCTTATTCGTGATTTCAGCATAGGAATCATGATTTCAAATTCTCTGTAATAGAAAATATACCGTTCTTATTCGACAACTGGAGAAGGAAGCGGTGCGTGGGAATGGCAGCGGGAAAAAATGCAGAGAAGATTAATGACCGACTACTGTGGAGAACCAGAGAAGAAATCTGAGTTGTTTTTAATTACTATAACAGTGTCGTATTGGGACCGGTATACCATGCTCATGGTATACCGGTCGCACGGTATAATTTGCGGTCGCTAGTCGCTAGACAGTCATATGATTATTTAAAAAAGTAGAACTATGCCTTTAATATTGATTGATTAAAGCTAAAATAAAAGTATAAATTAAAGCGTAAAACTATTATTAACACCTGAGGTTATGACATAATTATTAAAGTAACATTACATTTTCAAAAATCAATTAATTACTCCTATGTTTTGATCATTTTCACCGTTTGCCCCCTCATGTTAATATTTATTAAATTAAATTTAATATAACTTTTAAATTCAATAAAAATTATCTATAAGATTAAATTTTAAAGTAAATCACAATTTATTATCATAATTATAAGTTATTGTTGTTTATCGTTATTTTTCTACTTACCTACTCAATCATGGAATAATGAAAGTAGTTTAGGGAGAAGACTCACGAGTAAGAGATAAATATCATGAATTTATATTTTTTATTTTAAAAAATTAAATATCATTGAAGATTATTAAACTGATAAACATTTTTTGAAGAAGAATTCATCAAAATTAGTATTAGTTAATAAAAAAATAAAATAAATCAAAATCTATGATATATATTTTCGTTCTTAGATTGATAGGTTTCAATTATTCAGACCGTATATCGATATATTTTTGCCTTTTTAGTCTCATATTAATACTATATCAATCTTTTAGGTCATGGATTGATAAATTTTATATTTTCTTGGTTATTTTCTACACATGAAAGAAGTGTCATTGAGATTAATTCAGCCGGATGAATTACAAATAAGACTTTTATATTGATGATGAAGGGTGTCTAGAATTTTGATAACACGTATTTCAAACAACTTTCTTTGTTATATCCCATGAATATTACTCTGCTCGGGACTCTTATGCCTTAACTACTTTGATTAATATTTATTTCACGATCAAATATCTAAGTACAAAAATAACAATAAAAACAATGACTCATAATTCATTATCATTATCATTACCCCAGTGCCGCAAAGGCTCCCACCTTCGGTGGGGTAAGGGGGTCGGATGTACGCAGTCTTACCTTTGTACTAAAGCACAAAGAGACTGTTTCCGGATGACTTATAATTATGATAATAAATTGTGTTTTTACTTTAAAGATTAATTTCACAGAAATTTTCATTGAATTTAAGAGTTATATTAAATTTAATTTAACAAATGTTAACACAAGGGGGCATATAGTGAGAATGATCAAAACTCAGGGGGTAACTAATTGGTTTTTAAAAATGCAAGGTGGCATTAATAATTATGATATAACCTCGGGGGTAATAATAAATTTCCCAATAAAAATGAATTAATACAATACAAATAGTATTAAATGTTGTATGTAACAAGCTAACTATGACCTTTGAAAAATGAAAAATAGAACAAAAGCAAAAAAGTATAAATTCCAAGGTCAATCACAATTTTTTGCGCTCATATATTAAGAATATATTAAAAGGCTAAAGGGTCAAATAGGTACATGAATTAACTTAACGTGTTCAATTAGCCCCTCATATAAGAGGTTCTGCCCGGCTGTCGCCAATTGAGGCGGTTTCCGGTTGAATTTTTTGATGAAATGTTTTGAGCATCTTGTTCATTAAGTCTAGTTTACCCATATCAAATTTCAGCTAAAAATTAAATCGGGAAGACAGTCAAATGATTTTCCAAAATGTACTGTGTTGTTTAACTGTGCAGTTATCTTCAAAAAATAATTTGACTGCCTTCCCGGTTGAATTTTTAGCTTAAATTTGGTATGGGTAAACTAGACTTGATGAAAAAGATGCTCAAAAAATTTCATCAAAAAATTCCAACAGGAACCGACCCAATTGGCGACGTCCGGGCAGAACCTCTTATATAAGGGGCTAATTGAACATTTTGAGTTAGTTCATGTACCTATTTGACCCTTTAGCCTATATTACAATAACCTAAGTTATCACCATTTTCCTCGAGCAGGAAAAAATAAGCAAATTATAAAATTAATTAAAAGAAAGAGTAAAGTATGAGCTTTCGAAAAAAAAGTGTTGTGCAATTTCAAAACGAAGTATGGTACTTTCTATGTACTACATTAACTTTTATTTTGCAATTGAGAGAGTAATTGATTTTTCTAAAGGTTAAAAGTAATTCATCATTTATTATACTACACCTATTATATTATATATTATCTTTTCAAGTTAAATGTCAAATTCCTTAATTGGAATGAGACTCAAACGTGTGAGCTTCACTTTGAAAGATTAACAGTGTTGTTATCAGATCACAAAATGGTTGATGATTTATTATTAGCGAATAACACATGTAATTTATAAAACTCAAAATATTGTAGCATGCATTATTCGAATATGAGTTTTTTAGATTCAATTCTTTTCTTGATGATAATTTCTTTCTTAAGGGTTTAATTGTAAAATATCAAAATGTTTCCAATTTCTTATTATTTTGATAAATTTAAACAATGCAGGCCTCCACACTATATAAAAGAAACTGTGGATCCGGTTGTTAGCTATTTTACTTATTCATATTATATTATTAGCCATTCAGCCATTTTATGTAAATTTATTGATTGCAATTTAGATCAATTTATATCAGTTGTGGAGGGAGCTTGCCCCCAAAAAAATCGTATTTTTTCCAATTGATTGTAACAATTGTTATTACATCACAACATTTATTATATTTATTAATATAATTGGCGGTGGCAGATTCAGAACAAAAAGTTATTAGGGGCATAGATTAATTCACAGATAAATGTAATGTTGTTACTAAGAGAATCAAAATTTGAGATATAGTTTGATAGACCATAAATAGTTATATGTACATAAAAAAAAATTATATGTATGTGCACACACTCAAAAAGAGACCCAGACCCGCTGCCTCCCTGCATTTTGGTTTGTCTAGGGACATATCCTTGCCTGCTGGCCGGGTCCATTTGTGACTGCTCTTCCCATATCCTTCTGCGTTTTTTTATCTCGGCACCTCCTCAGAACGGCCCATGTCTCCTTCCTTAGTCACACTGTTTCATGTACCCGTTGTGGACTCACGCCATCCCTGTCCCCCTGTCCCTTCACCTTCCTGATATGCTTTTCTCTGTTGCCTTACAATCCGTGAGCTTGGAGAATTTTTCATAATCCACTTATTACCTCCTTTAGGACTAGTTCTCACCCCTCCACTAGCCCAAAGTTGTACCCCAAATGTTTTTTCCAACATTATGCCTTCCTCATATTTTAAGGGA